TGCTCACTTTACCCCATTTTTAGCAAGCTTTTAAATTCAACAATGTAATGAAATGGAACCAAATCCTAAGATTTGCAGAATATACATTATTAGCTGATATTTGCTGGTCTTCTTCACAATACTCAAATCATGATTTAATCTCTGATCAGCTAGTAAGTGCCAAGACAATTGGTAACTTTTCATTGAGAAAGGGAAAATAGGTTTTCTTTGATTTTAAAATGTAATTGATTTTCATGGAATATCAAAAAGTATTCCCAGCAGAGTTGATGACAAAGGGCAGAGAGGATTTCACAGCTACCTTTAATCTTCCTACTATAGTCATGAAAGTTTTGCCACTTCAGACTACTTCACCAGGCTCACTGCTCTGACAAGGGGACCCTATTTTTACTGCTGCCTGTAAGAGGCAGCCCAAGGAGATGAGACAAGTCAATCTAGACAGAACAGTAAATCAATAGAAATATGGTCATCGTTTATTCAGTATGCAGAGAGAGTACATTTATCTGAAAAAAGTAAGCATGTTGGGTTTTTTCGTATTAATTCTTGGTAGACATGTCTGTCTGATAAGTATAAGGAAAGTCGTCCTTTCACTCAGTTTAATAAAACCTCAAGAAGCAGCATGTTCTTGATAACATAAAGACATTCACTTGGTAGTATGGTAATAACTTTTCAGATGGAATGAAATATGGTGCCTATATGACTGCACAACGTGTCTGTAAACAACTCTGAAAACTAAGTTTGCTGCTTCAATGTTTATTGGCTTTACATTGGCCAGTATGTACAAAGTAGAATTTGTAAGCATGCTTAACTTGTTAAAACTTCCTAAATAAAGAAAAAGTAAACTGTAAAATAAGCAGATGCTTACTGTAAGCTTTAAAAACTATTTATTCAGCTGGTATTTGTGCCTTAAGTCCAATATCAGTATTAGAACACTGGAATAAAAGAGAAGCCTTTAATACAGTTCATTACTCTAGAAAGCTGGGACTAACTAATCCTTCCTCCCACTGGCCCCCAAGTGCATCTCTCAACTAGTGAACTCTCTGTTCCTAAAGCCCCCTAATACACTTTTTATTTCTGATGTCACTTTCCCACCCTTCAAGGCACATAAGGTGGCATGTGTCATTGCACCAACATAAACTTTATTTCTGCTCATGCCTTTTGGTATTGGCAAGTACTTAAAGATAGTTTACTTAATGTAATAAACTGGCTGTATTTAGTGTCCTTCCTGTGATTTCAGTTTGTTGCCGTACAGGGAGTGTACAATGGTTATAGTTGATAAAGTCAGGCTTCTTTCTTTGCAAGTGATAGACTAGAAAATATTCTGAAATAAATATGTTCACTTTCTTATATGAAAGGTATATCCATATGGCTTAGAGCATTTTAAAACAGCAAGGTCTTTCAAATAAAGTGAAGAGGAATTAAAGTCTATATGTCAGTGAACTTGTCTTGGGTTTATCACAGTGTTGCAAAAATTGTGCATTTTCTTCTGTATCATTGATCCCTTACCATTTGCTCTCTTAATCTTAATTTCTTTTAAAGCCACTATAGCATTGACAGAATTGTATGATGAGTCATATACCAATAGTATCATGCCAAATTTAAAAGTCATTATAGTAACCAGTTTCTTGCAGGAATTATAAAAAAAATAATCATACTGAGGCAACAGGGCAGACCTAAATAATTGGCAGGCCAACTACTTGTTTTGGCAAAGGGAGTGGCAAAAACCTCATCGTAATTTCTTCTACAGGTTTTTTCAACTAAGCTGGGCCTTCAGTAGTATTATGCCATGCTAAGATGTCTCTCTACACAGTTTACAAAGTCAGTAAAATCAGACATCCAAACAGATGAAGATGAAAAATCTGTTTGCTGTAGCCTTTGCCAGTCACCAAGTGGATGTTTATCAGGAAATACCTATTACAGGCTGGAAAGAATCAAATTACTTTTAATATGATGGCAACATCTGATGCAAGACATTGTCTTCTACAGCTAAATAAGTTGAATATGAATGGACTTGACAGCATGTATTATGAAATGCATTATGGTCTGGAGACTGGGTGTCGCCCTAACAACCAGATGATATTTCCTTAATTAAGTGTAATTTTTTCCCTATGTGATCACAAGAGGATTCTGCAAACTCTGATGAATTAATGGTCTGGCAAATGCATGTAATTCTCTGCTCTAGGTAACTGTCAGCTTCAAACACGTTAAGCTGTCTTAGGAAAGCTGCAAATACTTGATTTGTTTTCCCAACTTCTTTTCCTAATGTGTTAAACGGTTTATGTTTATATGTTTAGGGACTAGAATATATGTATTTTCTATTTAAAATTAATATGTTTACTGATTCTGAGCAATTTTTTTGTCCTTGATATATTTTTCTCACCAGTCCGTATTTTTTTACATAGTTTATTTGCAAAACCTGTCTTGCTTACTTGTTTACTGAAAGACATTTGCTATCAGATTTTTCCACTGTGTCTGGCACTTGTGTTTGCTACACTAAATCATAAGACTTCCTTCACCACTGCCCCTTCTTCATTTCCAGGTTCCTGAATTTATACACAGGAATAGCTATCAGTCTCTCACATCTGTAATCACAGCAAGTTCCTGCAACCATACCTTTGCAATAAACATCTTTGCAAAGAAAACTTGGTATTTTAAGGCTTTGGGATATCCTAAATTAATTGCAGCCACTACTGCTGGCAGTGCGGGGCTGCATGAAGCTGTGGTGCAGGTGTGACTTTCTGCTTACCCCATCTCATATCACAAGTGGGAGCTCACCTTGTCTGTCCTGGAAAGCCCTGAGGCCGTTCTCCATCTCTAGGCCAAAGGCGAAAATTGCTCATAGAGGGAACTGAGAAATGTTTATCAGTTGACAAATTTAGTTTGAGCGTTTATAGTTTGGCACAGTAAAAATGCTGGTTTGTGGTGTGGATCATTCTGAGCGTAAAGCTTACGATTTCTTACCATAACTAAAAAGTGCAGGTGGATGTCCAAACCCTAAGACCTTGTCTGGCTGCGTGGTATCCCAGGCCACTGATTTCAAACATACAGCAGGAACATCATTTTCCTTGGGCATGGTGCTACTTCAGACTCTTGCACTGTATCTACTATGCAGGGACTGCCGAATGGGCTGAATGAGTGTATGCCCTGCAGATTTGCTTTCAGACTCTTTCAGCAGAAGGGTAGATTTTTTTCAGCAAAAAGAGAGGAGCAGCATGAAAGAGAAGAATGTCCTGTAAGGAAGAAAGAAGGGCTTTTTGAATAAAATATTAACTCTACTATGCCGAAAGAAATTTTGTAATGAAAGTTTGTGGCTATCTAGATGCGTAAGGACTTGTGCCGAGAAGGTTAGCACTGTGGTAGTTCATTAGAATGAGTTAATCAGTGGGTTAATCTTTGTAAACCAGTGCAAATTAATATAGCCAAGAAAGAGGCAAAAGTGTTGGCAAGTGTTGCAGGTTTGATACTTGCACACTGATCAGCTTGTTTTATAAACATTTATTTGGAATCATGACAGATATTCTGTGGAGGCTAGTTTCTGTAATTTGCCAGATTTCTCTAGGGACTCTTGTCAGTGCAAGAAACGTAATACACTGTGTGACATTAAACAAGCTGAGGGTATTACAAAAAGGACTAACCAAGCTAAGCCTACCTCCTCCTTACCATTGCACGCAAGTAATGAGTTCGCTGCAGAATCTACACTTCTCAGATAGGTTGGGCATAGACAAAAAATTGCTGGGAGGTGAGAAAAAATTGAATTGGCACTTCCCCAGTATTTTTTATTTATATTTTTTTATTTGTGACTGAAAATCTGAAATATTTTGCTTCTAATCAGATCCTTGGCAATGCAGTCACATAGCTCTACATAAATGCAAGACAGGCACTTAAGAACAGGTGTGCTTTGGGGTTTGGAACTAGTTTATTTTAAATTCCTGTTTATAGGTGGATTTTGTCAGTAATCGTGATGGAAAAAAATGTCAGTTTTCCTTTTTTTTTTTTAAACAAATACATTCATCGACATTTTCCACTCTTTGTAGCAGATGTAACGTTGTGATTGTGCAAATTTATAATGTGTGCACACAAACATACATATGCACAAAGTAGAGCTATTATTTTATATGATGAAATAGCTGGAAATACTTCCTTATTTCACTGTCTGCAAGAAAAAGAGCAGACCACTCTGTTTCTCACTGACCTTCTCTAACCAACACAGGAAATAGCATTTTATACCATAGAACTGAAGAAAATCAACAATTCACTAAGGCATGAGGTTACCAACATGGGACCTTGGGGAGTCGGAGAGCAAAAACCAAGGAATATGAATGGCAAAGAAGCTTTCTCCAAAGCTTCTCTGGCATGTCTTTTGTTTAATTTTTGTTCAAAGTCTTGTTCTTGCTTTAGTTCATATGCTGTTTGTTATTAATGTCTTTGTTTTTAATGCAGAGAAGAAAAATGCTTTTAAATGCTGTGTATGTGTTTTAAATGGGTGTCACTACCAAACACACTGTCAATAGTCAGTCTTACTCAATCAGCTATAAAATGTCATGAGTAAGGGTTCTTAACTGAGACTGGAAAAATCCAAGATAATTACCATAATAGGTTGAAGATCTCAGAGACTGAAGGTTTTAGAAGTCAGAGAAAATTGGGGACATATGTGTTCTGTCCATAAGATTGTTCTATATAAGAGATGGAAAAATAGAAATGACAGGCATTTTGCAATGTGCAGTAGCATTCATCATACAAAGAACATACGCATTTGTTTGTCAGAAGCAATGAAGTAAAAAATGACGCTTAATTGGAACTGACGTAAAATGGCGTTATTAGGGGTACAAATAATATATGTGCATAGCTTGGTTGTCAATAGAACAAAACATATTTCCTCTGACAGATATATTAGTCTCTTTTAAGATTCATGTCAAGTTTTCAGCCAGGTTCACTAATTTAGAGAATGCTGGGGTGTTTTTTTTAAAGTGAAATGTTGAAGTGTAAATGATGTGTGTTTGTAGGGTGCTGTGATAACACCAACAATGGACCACACTATGTCAATGCAGCCAGCAAGCATGATGGGCCCTCTGACCCAACAGATGAACCACCTTTCCTTGGGCACAACAGGAACGGTAAGATCATAGATTATACTATTTACATTCTATATTGCAAAACATTTATTGCTTACTGAGTTTCTCAAGGTAATTTATTACTCCTGGGTTTTCAGTGCCTCGCCTTTTTGCAGTTTAATATTGCCGCGGTTTACTTCGTTTTTTCTCCATGTCCAGAGATGTCTGGCCCTGTCTGGGCAAACATATCAAAGTGCCTTTCATCATGACCCAAATGTGATGTACTACACAAACAATATCCTCATATCGCTATGTCACGCAAGCACGTATCTACAGATATATTTCTAAAACTATCATACAGTCAGCATTAGGTATTATAGAACAGAAATGACAAAGTAGTATGAGTAGTGAAACAGTAGGTCAACAAAACCTGCTCTGTACTTAGCAGGAATTATCTGTACTAATTCTCACATAAATATGGAAGTAGTCCTCTATCAGTTTGGTTTTTAATCAGAAATTGTTTGCTTGTCAATCTAGAAAGTTTTATAGCACTGGGAAATGGGAGTTCTGGTTTCATGGTAGGATCCACTACTGACTTCTAAACCACAGCAGCCAGCCATACATAGTTTGCTCCAGGCTCAGAAATGTGATTTTGGTTCAAGGTCAGCTGTGTTTCTGGTATATTATATTTAAACATGCGTATTTCAACAATGACTTTCTCTTTAAGCTGTGTAAGTCAGACTCAATTAATTCCCCCAGAGTCAGAGAAAGGCAAAAAATACTTTCAATAAAAATGATTAAAACTCTCTGAGAAGCTCCTAAAATACAATGGCCTACACACAATATGTGGTGGTTTGATATGTGAATGTGTGCACACTACATATACATGTATATTTTTACAAAAATGCAGGCATAAAGATTATACTTTTATGTCTCTAGCACACATGCTCTTTACATAATAATTACATGAAAGATCTATTAAGCACTTATGAAATTTTTTTCTATTTCACCACTGCACTACTTGATACTAATCTATAGGAACAGTTTTCCAGCTTTGGTTGTGGGGGGTTTTTTTAGCTTGAATAAGGTACTGAATAAAGTTACATCTGTACAAAGTAATTTAACCCACTGTATTGGGTCTTATCTTCTTCTTCCTGATCCTCTTCTCTTCCTCTCCTTTTTTTCTTATCTGTTGAATTTAATTCTAACTCTAGTGTCTTTTCTCCCTTCTTTAAAAATCTCTGTTAAGATCTGAGACTTCTGTATTTATTTCTGATGTAACTTAAATATGATGGCTTGTTGTTTATTCCTATTACTTTAAATGTTTCATTCAACAATCAAAAGAAATAGGAATTATATCTTAAAGTTAGTATCAGCATTTTTCCCCTCTGAAGACATGAAATTGAAGGAAATACTAGAACTAGTGAGAATTTCTGCATGTGTAATTTCTGTGATGCAAAAGTGTGTTTACAAATTAAGACAAGGAAGTGGAAAATTAATTCTGGTTGTGCTGCTGGGCAGCTCCTATGAATTTTTCCTTCTGTCTGTCACTTTCATTTCCATGACTCTACCAGACGTTGTCTTCTGCACTCGTTTTCTTGCCATCTTAATGCAAACTAGAAAATTCCCAGCTAACGTTCTCTTCTGACTTGAGACCACTATTACAATGCTCATAGTAACAAATCCATAGTAACAAATCCATTTGGGGAGGCAGGGGAAGGACTCGAAAAGGCAGTGGGTGATCCAGTGGGTGATAATAAGATCCTGAATTTATTTTACTGCAACTGAAAGAATATTTTTCCTTCCTTTTCCTAGCTCTTTACACAGTCCTATCTTTTAAGGTCACAGCATTCCCTGCTAACTTCTTGAAATACATTCAGAGGTACACCATATAGGTTTATGTTTACTATCTTTAAAACTCCTAACTCATTTACAGAAAACTTAAAGAGCAAGAAAAAGTAAATGATTAATGGGTGTTACAATATCCATAGGCTTTTTATAAATCTCAAATTACACCCTATTTTATCACGTACAGGATTTCTCTTTGGTAAAAACGCCATCAGCACCATATTCAGTTAAAGTCCTCATGCAAGCAGGATAATCATGGAGGTCATCAGGAATTCCTTCTGTCAGGAATTAAAGGAAGAACTTCAGGATTTGGGCTGCCAGTAGCAGTTTTGTTGGATTTATCCATCCTGACTTGAAATCAAATTTTCCTAACGTGTTCTGTTACAGAAAAAAAAATGTGGGGAAAATGGACAACCTATTTAGAGATATGATTTATTTAGAGATATTTTTACTTCATTTATTCTGAAGTCTGAATTTCAGTCCAGAGAGAGGAGCATTGAGAGCATAATGCTGTGATGAATTGAGCCAAGTACAAACCATGCTACTGTGAGTACCTTAGCAGGACTAAGTTTTCCTTAGACAAACCATTTTGCTAATTAACATAACATATTTTTCAGCCAAAACAGACCTCTGTGGTCACTTAAGTGAGAGCTGACTTCAAACCCACATCTAAACTTGCCTGATTCAGGAAGAATGCTGGGTTTCTAAAATACTGCTTCAACAGAAAATCTATTCTCTAGCAAGTAAGCTAGAGAAATAGTATATGGGCCTATGCATGCCTCATATCTTGTGGGAATTACTCTGCCTTTTGATGCACTCTAAAAGATTAAAATACTCTGTCCAGGCTGGAGCCATTCCAGAGGAGAGACCCTTCACAGAGAAGCACGCTTTAGCCCTTCAGTGAGGCGAATTACCTGAGTAAGAGTGGCCTCTGCCAATTCCTGCTTCAACACCAAAAATTGGATTTGAGTTTTGATCTCTCAGCTCTGAAGCACATGTTAAAACCTGTCGTGGTTTAACCCCAGCCAGCAAATAAGCACCACGCAGCTGCTCTATCGCTCCCCCTCCTCAACTGGACAGGGGAGAGAAAACACAACAACAGGCTTGTGGGTCAAGATAAGGACAGGGAGAGATCACTCACCAATTACTGTCACAGGTAAAACAGATTTGACTTGGGGAAAATTAACTTAATTTATTGCCAATCAAGCCAGAGCAGGGTAATGAGAAATAAAACCAAATCTTAAAACACCTTCCCCCCCACTCCTCCCTTCTTCCCGGGCACAGCTTCACTCCTGAATTCTCTACCTACCCCCTGCAGCAGCGGTGCAGGGGGACTGGGAATGGGGGTTTGGGTCAGTTCATCACATGTTGTCTCTGCTGCTCCTTCCTCCTCAGAGGGAGGGCTTCTCACTGTTCCCCTGCTCCAGTGTGGGATGCCTCCCACGGGAGACAGTCCTTCAAGAAGTTCTCCAGTGTGGGTCCTTCCCACAGGCTGCAGTTCTTCATTAACTGCTCCAGCGGGGTCCTTTGCACAGGCTGTAATCCTTCAGGAACAGAATCCTCCAGCGTTGGGTCCCTTGCATGGCGTGCAGTCCTTCAGGACCCCACGGGGTCACAAGTCCTGCCAGCAAACCTGCTCCAGCGTGGACTCCTCTCTCCACGGGTCCACAGGTCGTGCCAGGAGCCTGCTCCAGCACAGGCTTCCCACAGGGTTGCAGCCTCCTTTGGGCAGCCACCTGCTCCGGCGTGGGGTCCTCCACAGGCTGCAGGTGGATATCTGCTCCACTGTGGACCTCCATGGGCTGCAGGGGGACAGCCTGCCTCACCATGGTCTTCCCCACAGGCTGCAGGGAAATCTCTGCTCCGATTTTTTTCCCCTTCTTAAATAAGTTATCCCAGAGGTGCTACCACTGTCACTGATGGGCTCAGACTTGGCCAGCAGCAGGTCCGTCTTGGAGCCAGCTGACATTGGCTGTGTTGGATGTAGGGGAAGCTTCTAGCAGCTTCTCACGGAAGCCACCCCTGTAGCCTTCCTGCTACCAAAACCTTGCCATGCAAACCCAATACAAAACCCCATGGGAATTCGAGGGGCAGCTGCCTCCATCTCTGCCTGCACTTGATTATTTAGTCATGAGGCCGGGGGGGGCATTTCTGGCTAAGTGCTGGCAGGGCTGCTCACTTCCAGCGGGGAGCATCCAATTCAGCAGCCAAAAAAGAGCAGTTTTCCTACAGCCCCACACACAGCCAGCTGCCTTGCCCTTGTGCTGTGGGAAGCCTTCAGTTACTGGCCCCAAAAAAGCACAAAGAACTTTGTTTAGGAAACCATTTGCAAGAATAGGAACAAGAAGTTTTCTTTCTCCCCACCCCACCCCCCAAAGAATGTGTATTTAATTTTATTTTATTATCTTTTTTTAACATTTTTATTTCTTATCTGTTATTGAATTGTCTACACAAAATCAGACATCTCTGCTATACTAAGCACTCCTCTAATCAGGAGGATGCCCTAGCACTGTCAAGATCCCAGGCCAAGTGAAAAGCTGCAAATCCGTCTGTACTTGATATCACTGCCGACCTCATAAAAACATACAGCTGCAGCAAGTATTCCAGCCCAAAGGACAGTACAGGGCACCAGGGGAAGAGAGGTGGTAATGTTCTGCATTTTGTGGCAACTCAATCCCATGTTCATGTGCTGTGAAAGATTTTCATACAGCATTTGTATCTATCTCCCTGTTACTGTGCTTTGTGCTTCGTCCGCCAAGAACATAATTCCTTTCTGCCTTTATGAAAATCAAATTGATTTCTGCCAGTGAAAATACAGGTTATGTTACTGATGAATTGAGAGGCAAGTGTGCTGCTCTGATCACCTCCCCAAATCTGCCTGAAATCTGGAGTTAAGCAGAGAATCTGCCAGAGGGGCGATTTCTGCCATATTTATATGTATATTTCATACATACCTCTTCACTCAGAAAGAGCAGAAAGTATTTACATGGGTGCGCTGGCTATGGGGAAATATGTAAAGAAAACCTAAGCTTAAATTATGTCAAGATTACAGCAAAAAGGCGATAACTCTGAATGTTCTGATTAAGGCTGACAACCCAGCCTCAGCTCCTACAATTGTATTTAAATGAAATTTTAATGCCAGGAGGCATAATGTGAAGACAGACAACCAGTTTTAACCTTGACATTTTTCATTTGTTTACTAGTTTGTTATTATT